CTCATTAATGGTTTACTTCAAATTGTATTATCCAATTCCTAAATATTTGGGGATTCTCTAAGCAAGTTTATGTTACTGATTGATACCTAGCGTAATTCTACTCTTGTCAGAGAAGATATTCCATTCAAATATTCTACATTCTTGATTTTTTACCACTTATTTTGTAAGTTACCGAGAGATTTATGTGAAAGTCTCTACTATAACCATGATTGTAAATTGTTTATTTCTTTTGATTTTTTTCATTTTTTGCTTTATGTAATTTGAGGTTATATTATTAGATATATGTAATATATGTTATATATTAAGATATGTATTATATATGTAATATAATACATGTATTAGATATATATTATTAGTCAAATCTTTCTGTTGAACGGTCTTTTACATAATTATAAAATGTTGCTGTTTATTATGGTAAAGATTACCAGCACTCTTTTGGGTACTTTCATATTAAATATATATATTTTTTACTTCCAAGCCTTCTTTGGACTTATATTTATGATATGTATCTTTTGGTATTGTTTAATTATCTATTTTGATCATCTTTATCCTTTAATTTATATGTTTAGCTCATTTAAATTATATGTGATTTCTCACTTACTTGGGCTTGAATATATCATCATGCTGTTTACACAATTGATTCCTTGATGCTTTTTTCTCTTGTCTTCACTTTGTTTATAATCATTAAGTATTGTTGTTGTCATTTTTCCCTCAATTAACTTCTTAATTCTGTGTTCTTTCATTATGTTTTTAGTGGTTACCCAGGATAACAGTGTGCATTCTGAAATTGTTACAGTCTACCTTACCTTCTAGAAAAGATAAATAAAATAATTGAAATTGTTCGTCACTTTCCAGAAACTGCAAATCTTTATAACACCCTTATCTTTCTTATCTCTTATGTATTGTATGTATTTTAATTCTTCATGTCTCTTAAAACCCAAATACATTGCTTTTTTGTTTTAAATATTTAATATTATTTAGATTTAACCATGTATTTATTCTTTACTGTTTACTGTTCTTCCACCTGGGGTCATTTTCCTTATGCATGAAAAGTTCTCTTTCATGCAGTTGGCTGGCACCATATTATTTGTTTGAAAATGTTTTTATTTTACCTCATAAGTAATAATTTTTTTGACTGTAGAATTTACGTTAGCAGCTTTTTTTCATTTGGCACTTTAGATAGGTTATTTTTGGTTTTGGAGCTTGTTTTGCTTTTGTTGAAAAAAATATACTATCAGTCTTATTGTCGCTCATTTGAAGGAAGTGTCTCTTTTTAATTGGCTACTTTTTTAGATTTTTCTGGTTTTGGTTTTCAGAAGTTTTACTATAGTGTGCCTTGATTTGAGAGTGTGTGTGTGTGTGTGTGTGTGTGTCTTTTGTATTTTCTGAGGTTTGTAGTGTTTATTGAATCTGTGACTTGATGTCTTTCTTTTATTTAGAAAGATTCTTAGCCATTTTCTTTTTAAATATTGCTGTTGCCTACTCTCTCTCTTCTTTCGGAGACTTCAATTACATGTACATTAGACATCTTCACTTACCTCTTCTAGAGTTGCCTTTGTTTCCCATAGATTCCAATCTCTGGTAAAATTTACTTTTCCTATTTTTTCCTGTACATATTAATCATATTGATTTTTATATCCCAGTCTTTTATGTATAATATTTGCTTTGGGTGTATGTATTGCATTTTTTCCCCTCTTGACATTTGATCATTTGATTCTGTTTCTTGGCATACCTGGTCACTTTGTATTGAACTTTCGATTTTTTGAGTTAAAAATTACAGAAGCTCTTGAACATGTGTTCCTTCCAGATAGATTTAATTTTTTTCTCACAAGCAAATAGAATATGAGAGGACTTTGTTCTGTTTCTGTCTGCTTCTGATCTGCCTTTCTCCTAGTTCATCATTGTATTGGGGTCTCTACTGACAGCATGGTGTTTTTACTAGAGTTCCTCACTTTGGTGAGTCCTGAACTCCAATCTCTGTCTCCCATATTCTTGGGATTGCTGAATATTGGTCAACCCTGTAGCCTTCTGACTCTTGGTTTCCAGCTGTCTCACCCAGCAAATGTTTCTTTTAATAGTTGGCAAATACAGATATTTTTGTTCATTTCTCTGTTGTTCCTTCTTTTTCAGGCTCCTGACCCTTCACTTCTTTGGTAGTCCCAAACTCCAACTTTTATCTTCTCATTCCAGTGAGATTTTCTCAAGTGCTGGGCTGCAGCTTGGCCTCTATTTCCCCATAGACTAAATCTGAAAGTGCACTGAGGAGAAAATAAAGCACCTCTATACTTCCTGTGTCACCAGTCCTTTCCCCCTTAGGTTCTGGCTGACTTGGCTGTGTTTTGATGCCTGCAAAGAGTAATTTGGGGGTGGGAGTTATTTTTAAAAAATCTTTTATCTTTCCGCCTCATCAGTAAGAGGCATGATATGATATAAACTACTTATCAAGTCTGAAATAAGTCTCTTAATGTACATTTTTCACACACCAATTTTTAATATCTAAAGAAAGGTGATTCTGTGGATGACATTTTTAAATTCTAAAGGCTCATAGATTCTATGATTTTAGCTATTAGTTTACATCTCTTTGAGTATTGTTTATTTCCTTCTACTCTTAATGCTTCTTTCTGTACGTAATGAAAGGGACCTTTTGGTTGCTTTATGTCTCTGATTTATGATCTTGAGATGCACTCCACTTGCATTATTGTTGTTAAATACATAATCTTACTATAGAAACTCTCACTGCAGAAAGCTTATTTCCTTAATTTGTATTTTTTCATCAAGTTGATAGTTTTCACCTTTTCTGCTATGTATCTTTCAGCACTCTAGGTGTGCTTTTTACATTTAATAATGTTAACATTTTCTTTATGAATTTTCATCTTTTTAAAAACCTAAATTGATTTTTCTATTGAAAATGATAGTTGTTTAAAATAATAATCGAAACTTCTCAAAGGAATATGCCCATTTGGATTACACTTTTCTAAAAGTATCTGTTATTCACTTGAACTGATTGAATATTATTCTAAGTTTAAAAACATCATTGCATTTATAAAACTTTTTTAATGAAGATACTCAAGGACCATCATGCTGATTCTGTGCCAGAGAACACTCAAAACTTAAACTTTTGTCTTTAAAAGTAAATTCTGTACTTCTTGATGGTGTTAGTATTGCTGTGGTCGTGTTCTTATTTAAAAACAAATTATAGAATGCTCCTTGCATGGCAAGTATTGATGCCAGGGATTTATAGAAAGCACTTAAAAGTTCTTGCATTTTGGAAGTGTAAGTTTTGTTGTTTTCAAAGCACTCTCCTCTGAGCTTTTCCATATTATCTCTGATTATAGGCATTCACTTCTAAAATCAAATGTTAGATGCTGTGTGTTCTATACACAGTTAAAAATACTTTTTCTGAAAAGTTAATTATCTATATAATGTGTGACATCAGTAATAATGTTAGTCCAGAAACAAGTAAAAATTCAATAGTACTAGGTACTCAGCCTCCCAGTCTGTCTAAATTTTCTGATAGTGGGATTTGAAGGTTCCAATGGGCTACAAAATATTTAACAATAATATTTAACAAATAATAGTTTGATATTAATGATTCGACTTGAAGATGTAATTATATTTTAATTTACTAGGAGAATGGATGATGTTTCAAATGGAGAAATGAGAAGAAAATATCAACAAACTCATGTGACAATCAATATATAATTTTCTAATTTGGCTTTAAAATAATGCCTTTGTGTCTACTGCAGTATTAGTGTTTCTGGATATATTAGTTTTTTTGTTGCTGCTGTTAACAAACCACCACAAATTTGGTGGCTTAAACAATACAGATTTATTACCATATAGTTCTTTAGGTCAGAAGTCTGACACCAAGCTGAAACCTAAGTGTTTGGTAGGGCTGTATTTCTTTCCAGGGGCTATAGGGAATAATGAGTTTCCTGCTCATTCAGGTTACTGACAGGAATCAATTATTGGAATTGTAGGACCAGGACTGAGATTCTCGTTTTCTTGCCTATTGTAAACTGAGAGCCTTTCTCAGCTTATAGTGGCCGCAGTATTCCTTATGTTCTAGCTTCCTCCTTCCATTTTCAAAGCTAACAATTAGTGATTGAGTTCTCATGTTACATCTGTCTGACCCATTCTTCCTCAGTTATTGGCCATCTTCTATGACGCCTATGATTAGATTTGACTCACCTGTGTACGCCTGTTGGTCTGCATATTTCAAGGTCTTATCTTAATCTGATCTTCAAAGTCTCTTTTACCATATAAGTATCTACAGCTTCCTGGGACCAGAGTGTGTACATCTTTGATAGGCCATCATTCTGCCTACCACACTGGCTAACTTAGGAATTTATAATGTTTTATATAAAACAAAACAAAACTATAGTGTGAGAACCTGACTGAGGGGGAAGTAAAAACAGGTCCAACTTCTTTGTTCTTTCCACTGAACAACTGTTGTTATTTTGACCTCAGGCCAGAGATAACTACTTCTCATCTAATCCAAGGAACCAGGTTAATTAGAATTGCTGTTTTAGTTTTTATCCTCCTTGTGTGGGGGAGGAAATCAGGTGTTTTGGTTTAACTTTTTGAGGGCTATGGGAATAAAAGTAAGCAATAATAATAGTTTACAAGCACTTATTATGTACTAGGTGCAGTGCTAAGCCCTATTACTCCACTTTCTCTTTTATTCCATTTACCAACTCTGTGAGGTAGGTATCATTATTATTCCACATTACAGATGATAAAACTAGGCATAGAAGTTGGGTAGCTTGCTCAAATGTTTGACTAATAAGTATGATAGCCAGAATTCAAACCCAGATCTTTTTGATGTTTAAGCCTCTTATTTTTACCAGTTTACTGTGCTGTCTGCATTTTGTGATAGTATACAGTATTATTGCTATTATCAAGTTCTTGCAAGTATTCACATTGAAGTTTGCTACTTGAAGTCATTGTCTTATCAAGTTGAGTACATTTTACATTTAATTATATTCTTGTTCATACAGGTGAAAAACCATACAAGTGTCAAATTTGCAATCAGTCTTTTAGAATTAAGAAGACATTAACAAAACACCTGGTTATTCATTCTGATGCCCGACCTTTCAACTGTCAGCACTGTAATGCAACATTTAAGCGGAAAGACAAGCTGAAATACCACATTGACCATGTTCATGAAATAAAATCTCCTGATGATCCTCTCAGTACTTCTGAGGAAAAACTTGTATCCTTGCCAGTTGAGTACTCATCCGATGACAAAATCTTTCAAACAGAAACAAAACAATATATGGACCAGCCCAAAGTTTATCAATCGGAAGCCAAGACGATGTTACAGAATGTATCTGCGGAAGTATGTGTTCCAGTAACACTGGTTCCAGTTCAGATGCCTGACACTCCGAGTGACCTAGTGCGTCATACTACCACTCTCCCACCATCTTCTCATGAGATTCTGTCATCACAACCACAGTCAACTGATTATCCACGAGCAGCAGATTTAGCTTTTCTGGAAAAATATACTCTTACTCCTCAACCTGCAAATATAGTTCACCCAGTTCGACCTGAACAAATGCTAGATCCTAGAGAACAATCTTATCTTGGAACATTACTGGGCCTTGATAGCACTACTGGTGTTCAAAATATTTCTACTAATGAGCATCATTCATGAGTAAATCTAAACATTCCACAGATTTTTGGACGGTTATATGCTAATGGTAGAGCTGATAGCTTTTAAATTTGTGGGGCTGCTATTTTCTCATTTTCTCTAGTTTCTCAAGTCCTCAGAACAGTTTCAAATCAAGAAAACTATGTGTCTCTATTTACTGAACATGAATATTTGGACAAAATTTCTGACATAAAATTTCTGTGCACATTTTTGTGATTTTTAAAGATTATTCAGTGCTAACTTTTAATGGTTTCTTAAATTTTTTGCAATTATTAGCCGCTGATATTATGGAAGTATTTTTTTTAATCATCAGTGGAAATTTTTATTCTTCTTTAATCTTATTCCTCCCCTTCTTCTTCCTTCCCCATCTTACAAACAAGTTTGAGGACCATATAGCCTTGAAAAAGGAATTAAGAGTATACTGATAATTGCAACTGTTTCTTATCCTAACTTAAGATTCATTATTACTTTATACAAAATTTTTTTTTTTTTTTGAGACGGAGTCTTGCTCTGTAGCCCAGGCTGGAGTACAGTGGCCGGATCTCAGCTCACTGCAAGCTCCGCCTCCCGGGTTCACGCCATTCTCCTGCCTCAGCCTCCGGAGTAGCTGGGACTACAGGCGCCTGCCCCCTCGCCCGGCTAAGTTTTTGTATTTTTAGTAGAGACGGGGTTTCACCGTGTTAGCCAGGATGGTTTCGATCTCCTGACCTCGTGATCCGCCCGTCTCGGCCTCCCAAAGTGCTGGGATTACAGGCTTGAGCCACCGCGCCCGGCCTACAAATTTTTAAAATTGAAATTAGGAATTTGAATTTACAAGAATGTCTTGGATATTTCTGTGTTGTCTTTCCATTCATCTGTAATTTTAGTTTATCATTATCCTTTGGACTTTGGACTTTCGATATACTCAAAGCCGGAAAGCTTAACTAATGTAAGATTAGCTGTTAAATGTAGGACTGAAATAATAATCCAGATAATTGGTTTTTGCCTATACTTCAATTGTTACGAATAAGAAAGGCAAACATAGGTCTGGACATTAAATTATACAAACTGAAAATGTGTTACAAGAAAAATATGAGAGTTTTAACTAGATCTTTTTCAAGGTAAGTTCACCTTTTGTACTTTACTATTTATTTCAGAAATGTTAATATAATATAGCATATATCTTCATCTCACTGAGGAAAGAGCAGTTGTAACTAGATGAAATTTAATTAAACATGCTACTTTTAGTTTCATTTACTTGTCTGGTAGAAACTCTAGGAAGCAGAACCTAGATATTTTGTGTTCAATTGTTAGAAACGGTGCCAAACAAATTATGAAATTTGTGCCTAATTTAACTGAACATTGTTTAATTAAATGGAACCACTACTGATATACACATTTACATGCAATCTAGATCTTTAATTTTGCCTTCACAAAAGCCTAATGTCTGTAATTAACCTTTAATTTTTATTTCTGTATGAGACAAAAGTTGAGGACTTGGTGAAAGGAAATAGCAGTTACAGCAAAACCTCAGTAATTAAAATTGAGGACAAAATCAAAATTATAAAATACCTTTAAAGACATGCACTTTCCATATTTTCAAGTCAATTTTAACTAAAAACTAAGATAATGTTTCCTAGTGGAGTTGCTTGAAGATTAGACTAGACAGGGTTGATTTATTATTAGCATGTCATTTGTACATAAACTACTAGAAAATAGCAGTTTTAAAAGTTTTCTATTTCAGTTTTGTTTACACTCCTAATTGCTTTAAGCACTTTTTTGTGTGTGTAAACTGTAAAGTCTAGCCTCGCCCTTGTGAAAAAAAAAATCACAAATAAAATAATGAAGTTTTAATGAATAAAGTTTAACCAATTAGTAGTGGTGGAAACTGTTGCTGAAGCACTTAAGAAATAAAGGTACTTTACAGCAATGTTTGCCATACTAGCGAAGATAAAACAAAGAAATATTGAAAATTGAGGCAGTTAACCAAAGTAGCTCATATAAATAATAAAACCAGTCTGAGTTTAGCTTCATTTATCAAGGTTTGGTTGTAATTGTCTTAAGATTAGTGGACATACTAAGTTCTCCTTTTTAAAGCATTCTTATTTCTTTGTGTGGAAATGTTATATCTGGGGTACTTACATGATTGAGCTTGACTATATGAGGTACTGTTAGTCTGTTAGTCTTTCAAATTGACTTTTAAAAATACATATCTTCATGATTTTTATCATAAAGACTGACAATATTATAACTAAAAATCTTACTATAATGAAAGAAATCATACATAAAAATGTAGCCTGCCTTACATATAAGCTAATGTAGAAAAGTTTAGACTTATAAAAAGGCAGATAGTATATATATATTTATATACATGTATGTATATGGTATATTATACATTTGGTGGAAGAAAAAGAAGATATTGCATTTTCACATTGAAAAGAATACTTTGATTTTTGAAGGTATTTACTTTAGAGTTCTTTTAATAATAATGTCCTAATGCTTTAAATATATAATTTAATTGTAGGAATTGGTTTACATACAACTTTTTTGGAATACATCTCTTAGTAAAATGAAATATAATTATATAATTGTATTTAGTTACTATTGTAGATATCTTAAACTTGAGTAGTGATTTACTGTTTTGTAAAATGCTTTCATATATGTTATCTCATTTGAACCTCATAACCATCCCTGAAATAGAAAGAACAAGCTATATTCCCACTTTATAGATAAAGAATTTGAGGTTAAAATAAAAGGACTCATTGAAGCTCACAAGGTCAGTAAGTGGCAGAGCTACTAGTAGGGAAAGAAGAAAGCTAGCATTAATGAATGCTTACTATGTGCCAGGTACTACATCCTGTCATTTAATCTTAACCTAGTCTGGGAGATGTGTAATATAATTCTGATAAAGAAATAGTTTCAGTGGATGATTGAAAACAACAACAACAAAAACAAAATGAAACTAATCTGCTGCCTCTAATTTCCAAAAATGTAAAAAATTTTACAATTGTGAAAACCTCATGGATTTGGGCAAACTGAATGTACATAGGCTTTTGACAAAAGTTGGCACAAAAAGTATAAAAGGAGGCCTATTCTTTTCAGTTGACCTTTTGTAATATTTGATTTAGAGTATTTTGGACAAATGCACTCTAACTCTAATCCATTTATTTTGTAACTGTACTTAAAATTTTGAATCTTGCAACTAAGTTTAGCCTCATTCAGAATTTTTTTTTTATTTTGCGAGCATAATTTATTGTTTTAAATTAATTTTTAGCAGATAGCAGTTAGCACTTAATCTGTAAATGGAATAATTTATCAAGTGCAGAAATGTGTTAATCTAATGGGTTTTGACTTAAATGCACCAAAGATTTTTAGTAGGTATTAAATAGTTTAAAAGAATTTAAATTCTTTCTTGTTTGAATAACTATTTGTCCAAAGAAGCACAGTTGAAGTCCTAGAATAATGGATTTTTTTTTTAAAAAAAGTCGTTAGTTTGAATACTGAGATTATTGTTTGTATTTATATGTATAAAAATAGGAGCAGAAGAAAATACTCTGGGAATAGTCATACTGACAAACCAATTATAAGTGAGAATACTGTTTTCCTTAGTTTAATTAATACAATGTTACTTTGTTAGTGAACACTACTAAATGCTAAACAAGCCTATTTTTTACACTACGCTATCAAAATAATTTTTGCCTTTGATTTTTTTTAAGTCAGGTTGAAGTTATTTTTGTAAGAAACCCCACCTTTTTTTTTTTTTTTTTTTTTTTTTTTGCAGCCTAAAATCCCATTTAACGTTAGGGGTTGGTCCTTATGCCAGCAAGATTTAACCAACTGTAAAGGTAGTAGTCTTTGCATACATTTAAGTAATTAAGGCATTTATTGCTGGGAGAATAGGAGTAGGAAAAATACGGTTTTAAATTGGTGCTTTATTAAGTGACTTCCTTTTAGGCAATGGCAGGTCATGAAATAGGTACACTAATAATTTTCTATCAACCTTAAAAAGTGTCAAAGCATCTTCGTAGGGTGACTCTAAACTGCTAATTAATGGTTAATAATAATAAGTAATTATCATTGGTTGCTTTTCAATATAATTGCAAACAAATTAAGAACACAGACTGATATGTTTATAAGCTTGAGTTTTCTTCCTACCATATCATTCTCATATATCAGTGATGAAACGTCAGATTTTGAGCAGTAGCTCTTTGACAGTGTCCTTTTATACCCAGTCTTTTCTGCATTGAATGCTTTGTGCCTTTTCAATGTGTTGTAGTTGCTTAGAATTGATTCTGCTAGCTAGAGTGTACTGATTAATAGATTTTTATTTTTATTTTTATTTTTTATTTTTTTGGTTATGGGTGTTATGATTGTGTTGCCTGCTGGTTAGGCAGCTTTTCTTTTTTTTTAGGTTGCTTTATGTTTATATAGGCAAATTGGCACTAAGTGTTAGTGTGAATATTTGTTTTTATGATTTATATATCATTTAAAAAATCTCTGTTGTGGCCTTTATAGTTACTGTGAAGCCACTCTTGGGCCTGTCTCTACATGCTTATTAGAGGAATCTGACAAGTGAAATAAAATGAGTAGTGTGTCTGCATCTGTGTCTCTGTTTCTCTCTCTTTTAAATAACCAGTAACCATAACTACACAACTCTGCACTGAATGACCTTATTTCAGTTTGCCTAAAACTGAACAAGAGGTGATGGTTTGAGATGAATTTCTTATTAGGAGCAGGAACATCCTAACCAATATATAACGAGTTGATAAACTCAGGAAAAATTAGGACTTTAAAGAAAGTTGTATTTGGATATTCTAAGATTCAGTGCCAAATTTAAAATGCTTAGAAATATATTCTACAAGTAGCGTTTCTAAAACTTTAAGTAGTGTTATAGTAAATGCTACTTGCTGTTAGAGTGCATAAGGGATAATGTGAGAATAATTTTCTAAACAACTTCTAGAAACTAGACAGTTCTTCCTTATATCCTACCCTTTTACACATTTCTCTAATGTGGGGTTTTTTGTTTGTTTGTTTGTTTTTTGAGGGTAGAGGGAATCCCCTCCTTATTTCCTGTAAAATTATTTTTACTTAAGATACCTTTTCCCTATAATCTTAGCATGCTTTCTGCTCTTTCTCTTCGGAAGTAGCATTAATAAGATAGATGTAATAGGATTAAGATGTGTGGAAGATGAGAAAAAGAAGGTTTTTGTAGAGGGAGTGTTTATGTTTTGTTTACTTTTCATGTTTCAGCTTGCTGTGTATGATCATAAATCTATGATCTTGAGAAAAATCCTAAAACAATTTGAATTTAGCCTATGCAGCCAATTACATAAAGAGAAATTAAGGATTATATTCAGAGGAGAAATTAAGGATTATATTTGGAGCATAGAGGTTATACAAAGAATGTAACCTTGTCTGGT